GCCCACTAACCTACAAATCCAAGGGCTCAAAAGAACCCTAAACAACACAGAAAAAAACCACTGAAGAGTCAAAAAAAAACTACAAAACCGATCCCGAATTTCCCACCTCAAACCCTGAACACTAAACCCTAAACCCTAACACCGCACCATCTGGCCGGGCCTCACGTCTCCCAAATTCACCCCCCTCAAAAGCCTAAACCCTGACGCCTGCTGCATGCGCAGCCAGGCTGTAGTTACCTGCGCTCTTGAAAATCTCTGAGTTGGGGGTGTGGGGCTTTAGAGGCTTTAGAGGGTTTCGGGGTGCAGGCCTCAGGGGTTCGGAGGGGCTCAGAGGTTTGGGTGTTGAAGGATACTTGTGCAGAAGCTGTGAAGGTTGGGATGGAGACTAGCCTCAAAGTGGCATAGCTATGGCTTCCGCAACTTTATAGAAACTCATACTAACTACTGGTTCTTAGTAGGGACTGAGTCGGAATGCGGGAAACCCTCTAGGGCATTCTATAAGGGTACCTGATCCCTGACCTGCAGCATCTGGAGCCTCTCTGTTTGCCGGGATGCCGGGGGGGGGGTGGAGGCCCCAAAACTGCCTCACCCTGTACAACCCCTAAGCCCTCCAAAAGCCCTGGACAGCGCTTGACACAGAACAAATTTTATGAAACCCCGAGAAAAGAATTCTAGACCGGGTAAAGACCCTCAAGCCTGCAAAGCCTAAAGACTCGTAGAGAAAACCGCGAACTGGAAAAAACAAAACACCACCACCAAACATCCCTAAACCTCTGTGTCAAAAACCCGTTGATCCCTCGCATGAATCCTCAACACATACATGGCCACTGCTCTAAATTATGATCCTTTGAGGTTGCTCTTCTGAAAAGAACCCTAAACCCTAAACCCTAAACCCTAAACCCTAAACCCTAAACCCTAAACCCCAAACAAAAGAAGGACCACATTTTGGAGAACTGACCACCTGAAAACTCGCTTGCTTGCAGCTTTCGAGGCTTTCGGGGCCTGGTCCTGCCCAAGGCCTCCCAGGAACTCACACCAGGCCTCGTCAGAGAGTCATTATTGTTTGTAGCTAGGGTTTAGGATCTAGCATCCACGGTTTCCGTTGTAGGGTTTCGGGTTCACGGTTGGGGGGTCTGAAAGGGTTCGGGGTCTGAAAAATCAGTGCTTCGGGTTTTTTGCTGGGTTGCGGGCTTTAGGGCTTTAGGGTTTCACGGTTAAGAACTTTGGGGCTTGGGGTTGTGGGCTTGGAATTTGGCATTTCGGCGTTAAGGTCTCGGGTTCGGAGGTTAAAGCTTGGGGTTTGGAGGCTGCTTTTGTGGCTTTGTGGTTGTGTGTGTTCTTGCTTGTTTGTCTATTCGTTTGTTCGTTGGCTTGCTTGTGTGTCTATTTCTTGATTCGTCTTTTTTGGTTGCTTGGTTGCTTGGTTGTTTGTTTGTTTGTTTTTTGTTGTTTGTTTGTTTCGTTGTGTTTGCTTGCTTGCTTGCTTGCTTGCTTGCTTGCTTGCTTGCTTGCTTGCTTGCTTGCTTGCTTGCTTGCTTGCTTGCTTGCTGCCTGGCTTGCTTTTTGATTTTTGTGTCGGTTTGTCAAACGTTTGAGTTGAGACCAGGCTTTTCGTTGAAGGGCTTTAGGCTCTTGGGGCTGCAAAGCTCTGAACCCGAGGCCCTTGCAAGACGTCAAAAAAAGTAGCGTTGCACAGTCATACCCCTTGGAACCATTATTTAAAAAAAACTATTAACAATATTCCCCTTGGGTTTTACATGACGAACACTAAACATACTTCCTAAGGAGACTATAGCAACCAGAAACCCTAAACCCTAAACCCTAAACCCTAAACCCTAAACCCTAAACCCTAAACCCTAAACCCTAAACCCTAAACCCTAAACCCCAGCATCCTCGGGTCCCCGGCCTTCATCGGTCTTTGAAGGCCCCGAAACAGCTTCCGGTCGCGCTCAAGTCAGCGCGGGCGGATGAGAAATTCTACGCTGGGGGGGAGACGTTGAGGGATCAGGGTGTATGGGTTTATGGGGGTCTAAGAATCTAGGGTTTAGGGTTTAGGGTTTGGGGTTTAGGGTTTGGGGTTTAGGGTTTAGGGTTTAGGGTTTAGGGCGTTTAGGGGGTGTGGGGGGGGCGGTTCGGGGCTGGTATCTAAGGTGGACGGCCCAAGTTGCCGGGAGGGGCAGCCAGCTTTGAAGCCCAGACTTAAAGCCGCTCATGCCCTAACCCTAAACCCTAAACCCTAAGCCCCAAGCCCTAAGCCCTAAGCCCTGAACCCGCACCCCGCTGCGAGCCGAAGGCGGTCTTTTGGGGCTTTGGGGACATAGGGTTGCCGGGTTGTGGTTGTAGCCCTAAACCCTAAACCCCAAACCCTAAACCCTAAACCCTAAGGGTTGTGGGGTTTTGAGGCCTCGGAAGGTTTCACTCTCAAAGTGTGGGCGTCAGGATTCTTGATCCTAGGCGCGGTCCTTCCGAGATGGCTGGGCTTCGGGTTAAGGGTTTAGGGTTTAGGGTTTAGGGTCTAGGGTCCAGGGTATAGGGTTTAGGGTTTAGGGTTTAGGGTTTAGGGTTTAGGGCTTCGGGTTTAGGGTTTAGGGTCTAGGGTTTAGGGTTTAGTGTTTAGGGTTTAGGGGCCCAACATTGAGGCACCTGATGCTACACTCGAAGCCCAAAACCCTAGAGCCCAAGCCCCAAACCCCAGACCACCCCGAATCCTGAACATCCTGAAACCCTAAACCCTAAACCCTAAACTCCCAGAACCCCCACCCTGAAATCCTGAAAAGACTAAATCCCTAAAGCCCCCAAAGCTCGAAACCCTCGAACCCATAGCAGCCTAAACCCATACAGTAGAACATAAACGCCGACTGGGAGGTTCATGGTTCTTAGGAACCCTAATGCCACCCTCAACCCTAAACCCTCAACCCTAAACCCTAAACCCTAAACCCTAAACCCTAAACCCCAAACCCTGAACCCTAAACCCTTCAATATACCTAGAAACTGTTGGGGGTTCTGGGCTAGGGGCTAGGGTTTAGGGTTTAGGGTTTGGGGCACTCAGGGCTACGGTTTCGGGTGACTTCCGGCCTGTACTGAGCTCAGCACCCCCTGGGCTGGGTACTTCGCCCTTAGCCCTGAGCCCTACAGCAATTGGGGTAAGGTTTGGATTTAGGGTTTACTGTTTAGTGTGTAGGGTTTAGGGTTGAGGGATTAGAGATTAGGGTTTAGGGTACTGGTTTGTAGGGATCCCATGATAGAGGAATACGAGAACTCTGATAAAGCACTCTGTGGGCGATCTAATCATCGGGCTTGGGGTTTAGGGTTTAGGGTTTAGGGTTTTGGGGTTTAGGGTTTTGGGGTTTGGCGCTTTGGGCTTAGGGCTCTTTGCCTTAGGGCCTTTTTGCCCTGTTCAGAGGCTTCGGTTTCGGAGCTCAGGGTCTGAAATCTCAGGCCGACCATTCAAGGTTTTAGGGTTTAGGGTTTAGGGTTTAGGGTTTAGGGTTTAGGGTTTAGGGTTTAGGGTTTAGGGTTTCGGGTCTCGGGCAGCAACTCCCATCATCGACCCACGCGGGCGCACTGAGGCGGGTACGAGGCATGCGAGTTGTAAGCCATGGCGCCGCCCACGCACTGTGGGGGGAGTGCCCGGGTCCTATAACCAAAGCTCCTAAACCCAACAACCTCAAACTGGGCCCTCAGTCTCCCTAAACCCTAAACCCTAAACCCTAAAGCCTAAACCCTAAACCCTAAACATCCCTACACCCTGGACCGTCTGCACAAAGAAAAAGAGGGACAGGACTTGCTCTTGGTCGCCAAAACAGACCCTGGAGCCCACGAAGGACTACTGAAACCTACGCCCCATTAAGGTCCCGAAGACCATCGGAAAACCGAGGAGTTGAGAGAGAGAAAGCGCCCTGAAACCTAAGCCGCAAGTTTGGGACAGAGTCTGTGCAAGTCTGGTGGTTCGCCTGCCTTTGCCTTTTGCCACTCTCCATGGTCAAAGTTGCTGAAGACGCTGCGGGGATGGTTTGAGTCGGCTTGGGTGCTAGGGTTAATGAGGGTTTAGGCTTGAGGGTTTAGGGTTTGTTGAGTCTGTAGGTTTAGGTTTTGGGGGATTTTCGCCTGCTTCGCTTTTTTGTCTAGGACCCTTGGGTTGCTTAAACCTTAGGGGGCCTGGGGATTGTTTCTGGGTTGAGGTCTCAGGCTGTGTAGCGTTTTTCGGATTTGGGCGTGTTTTTTGGCTTCAACGATCGGGTTTTGTTTTGGGCCAAGGCGGGCCTAGGCTTCGGCGAACTATGTGATACGTGATCTACCCACCCACTCTCGACATAGGTTGGGAAACATAAGGCCAAATTCTCACTGCGGAGAGGACGGCGCAACACAAGCAAACCAACAGGGGCTAGACTCTGGAGCCTCCGACCTTTCTCGCGGATCTTCCGTGGCGCCACCCGGTTCTGTTCACAAACGTGAAGTGGCGAAACGCTTCAAAAAGCATCATAAAGCGAGTGAAACTGACAAGTTGCAAGCGCTGTTGGCGCATGATTTATGTTGCATTGAACCCCTGCTTTGAGCATGGATGTCCTGCATGCAGTCCACAAATGAGTGGTTGTCTAATCTAGGGTCCCCTTTTTGGGTCCCATGTAGTGCGGTACCCTTTCAATAAGAAGCCTTTAAACACATATTGCAGCCCACACCCAGCCCTAACTCATAGAGATGCGACAAGCACTCAGAATCAAAATCATCATCTTCGTAATCATGATAATCACAATAGTCATACTAGTCACAATAAGCATAACAAGCATCATAAGCATAACAAGCATAATTGCACAATAAGCATAATCAGCATAATAAGCATAATAAGCACAATAAGCATAATAAGCACAATAAGCACAATAAGCACAATAAGCACAATAAGCACTATAAGTATATTGGTCATAATAAACATAATAAGCATTTAAAAAATAAAAATAAAACATGATACGCATAACGCTGCTCACAGGATCTTCACCGAATCCTCATCGCCATGGTTCGAATGAACCTAAACTGCGCGCCGTCCACATCCACTGCGCCAGTGCAGAACAGGCAGCCATGAACAGGCTCCAGGCCACGACCCCCAACAGGTCATCTTGCAGCATATTCCTTGGACACTGAAACTGCTCGGCCCAGGACCTATCGGAAACCCTTACCAAGTGCGAATCCTAATCGCACACAGAGAAATGGAGGCGTGAACTTTGCGGAGGCTCCTGAAAACTGGCCGCAGGATCATCGGCAAGCGGGTCGCCACAGCTAGGACCGTACCCCCGACCAGGCTCACCAAGTAGTTGTAGCGATGAGGTCGTCTCAAGCGATAAACCACGAAGAGAACAGTCATGTACCTGGAACACTTCACAAAGGCTCAAGCTCCTCTCAAAAGAAGGCCAGAGGTCCCCCTCCCCCTTTCCCCCTTGCCAGCCCCTCTGGCCCAACTCAGGCCCACACAAGAAGGACCCGAAGGCGAAAGGCATGCTCACCACGTTCACAAAGGCCAGCAGCCCGTAGTAGTACTCACCAGCACGGAGGCGCACGAGGGCCAAGTCCAGGAAAGCCCAGACTCCACAGCTGAGGATGCCCAGGAACCTAGTTCCATGGTTGGGATAATACTAAAAAATGTAAGCTTCTGCTCCTTATTGGGTTTTAAGTACCCTGCAACATGTACATTGTTGCCCAACTATGACCAAGAAACCATGAGGTTGGAAATGCATAGAGTCCCAGGCCTTCCGTCAAGGCTGCGGCAACCCGGCCTCTTACACAATGCTCAAAGGCCTCCACTGAGCCAAACCAAGCGCGCAAACATTCCAAGATGATCTCCCTGTCGCACGGGATGCCGCTCCCCCGCGCGTCCACGTGATTCGCAGTGCAGCACTCGGTCTGCGCATCTGCTACAGTGAAGCTCCCCAGCTGGCGCGTGAACTCTTCCACCCAGGCGAAGTATTGGCGCAACATGTGGGTAATAAAAACATAGAATGGCCAAGAACACCCCGCCTGGATAAGCAAGCTTTGCAGACCAGCGCCATTCATCACAGCAACGAACCACAAGCACAGCTGAAAAACAAAGAGGCTCAGGCCCAAGGCCGTCGGTCCCAGAATTGTGGGCCGGATCACAAGCTCGCGGCTTGAGTTGTGGCTTTTCAAGAAAGCTGCGATCTCGAACATAGTCCACAGCCTCGTGGGGTAGGTCGGGTCCAAGAGCACCAACAAGCGCTTGGAATGCTTCAGGATGCCCCCGAGGCTCAAGATGCCTGCAACTTTGCGCTTGTAGTCGGACTGATGGATGCACACCCGATCCAAGAAGACGGTGGACCAAGGTCGCCATGTCAGGAACACCAGCAAGGCTGCAAGGCTGCCGAAGGTAAACCCCCAGGGGCCAAACTCATATATGGCGCCATCCAGGTCCGTCACAGCACAGGGTGATGGCAGAAGCCCCACATACCCCAGGGTCATCCCGGCCAAGGCAGCGAGGTTGCCTGCAAGGAACGCCGGGCGGCCATTATACATGACCATCAGCAAGCAGACCTTCTTCCATGGGTCTGCATGCCAGGAGTGGCTCCAGAAGCAGTCGATGCTCTCGGCTGGGAAGCTCTCCCCATACTGGTCCACTGTGCAATCTCTCTGCAAGCCTCTGCCACAACACCGTAGCACAGAGGAAGGCCAAGTTGCACCTGATGCGGCTGCTCCACAAACAAGGTTTAGGGTGTAGGATTTTAAGTTTTAAGTGCTTAGGAACTAAGTGTTTGGGATTAAGTGTTTAGGGTGTAGGATGAAGTGTTTAGAAGTAATTTTGTACCAGGTTCTGGGTTATTTAAGATCAAGAGTTTAGGATTTAAGCTTCAGGCGCAGGGTCCCCCAAACTATGACTCTCCCCAGACCCTAGCTTTGCCCCAGGCGCGCAAGAGCTCGGGGTCCTGGACTTCCATGGTCGCCACTGCAGCTGCCCTCTGCTGAATCACCACCTGCGCGGTGCACCCACCGGAGCAGTCTGACCAACAGTCATCAGCCGCTTCATCACGGGCTGGCAGCCCTAAAGGCAGGGGTGGAACGAAGTTGACCATGCGAAGCCGCAAAGCTTGAACCCCAAACGCCCTTGCGTAGACTGCGTAGACAAGGACATGCCACCAAGCTCACGTTCGAAATACTGGATCACTATATGCCTTGACCACCCCAAAGCCCAAGCTTCCATTTTCATGAACTACAACCCAATAAGTTGCAATCCAACCCACAGATGAAGGCTGTTCGGACCTTTGCATCTGTGGTGGGTAAGAAATTCAGGTGTGAGGGTGCGCGTGCATGCGTGCAACTGCGAGTGGCTGCGGTCCATGAAAGTGTGCATCATCGTTGAAGCAGGGGGCGCAGGCAGCGTGGAAAGGACTTGCACCAACGAAGACACCTTTCCATGCTGGTGAACTCCAGTGGGACGCCATTGGACGTACCTGCTCAACGACAATTTTGTGACACCCTGTATCATGCAAGGTCGGTTTTCCTCTGAACATCTTCGCTGCGCAATCCCAAAGAACAGTCTACCCCATGAAAACACCATTTGTGACTTTGCCGTTGCGTGAGGGTTTGTGACTTCAGAAGGTTGGCGACTTGGCTTCCGGCAACTCTTTCGGCAATTCAATGCTTGTCACGTTTGGCAAGTAAGTGCTTCGGCCCTTGACAAACGTCCTCAACCCGTCGTGAACAAGCATCGTGCGGTATTCCTCGAGCTGACGTGTCAGCATGTGTCAGCAGATGCTACCGGTTGGTTCACGAGATTGGAGGCCAACTGTGATCTTTTGTGTGGGAACGCGAAGATTTACTATTCAACATACGCACAGCTGATATCTTTCAGTTGTCACCTTCCAGAAAAGAACTGAATGTGCTTTTCTTGCCGGCCGAGAAGGCATCAGTCCGGTAGGCGGCAGCTCCAAAGTCCAATGGGTTTCGGGATTTGGGAAGCAAACCGAAAGCAAAAATCCAAAAACAAAAAACAATCGTTTTGATGTCAAATCGACAAGTCGATATGGAAAACATCACTTCCCATATTTGAGCGAATGCATTTTGCAACTCACCGTTGAACGGTGACCGTTCCATGCCTGTACGCATATAATGCCACAACACAGGCCTTGATGAAAGCGCGCGGACGAGACATGCACTCTGTCCATGTAATCAATGTGCACCACAAAAGTTTGCGTGGAAGAGAATGTGTACTTCGCATACAAACCAAAAAACGAAAATGCGCACCACAAATGTTCCTTCCTTTTCTAACTTACCCATATTCTTTCTTTTTTTCTGCTTTTACTACCTCAGCAGACCCAGCAAGTACGTTTCCAATGGTCAAAAAAGTCGCGCAAATAGGCGAACAAAATGGAATCTATTTTGGAGCGAGCGCCTCTTTACAACCAACATCCGTAGCACTAGGACTCGCAACTGGCCGAAAAGCGACCCGACCACGCAACACCCAAAACAAGAAACCAAAAAGCAACAAAAAAGCGAACAACAGGCCAGCAAGCAGGGTAAGACCAAGCTCCCTCTCGCAGTACACGACGAAGAGCTTGTGTGGGGACTGTCCCACGGACGCGTTGGGCAGTTCAGGTGATGGAGGTTCCTTGCTTTGCGACCTACCCATGCTTTCGCTTAATGTTTGTACTGGACGTGGCGCAGCATTGCTATGGGTGACGGACGGGCAGCTGAGTGATTGGTGCCGGTTCTTGTTTTCATTGGTCTCACCTCGCTGGCCTTGCCACCGGACCCGCAGGGGTGGCATCCAGCGGTTGATTACCTTGCGTTGCTCAACTGCCTGCTCCCGCAGCTGCGAGACGCGGAGCACGCGGGTGCCAACGTCCTCCTCTTGGTCACGGACAGTCGAAATTTCCTGTCCATCCCGCACTTCCCCTACTTTATACGACATCTCGTTGCACGGATGCAGTGGGAAGGAACTTATAGGGAAAAGTGGTTCCCTATCTTTGTGAACACTCTAGAGGCTGGACCACTTCACGTGGGCGGGGCCTGAAATCATGACTGTGCTCAGGGTTCTGGCGCCAGGTACTGTCCTGATATTGCTGGATCATGACACCCTCTTCACCGCCAGATGGGAGGCTGAGGAGCTACGGCGCTTTGCAGTTCTGGACCTCCTGCCCAGTTCCCTGTCGGTGGAGCTTTTAGGTAAAATGGACGTGGAGGTGGACGAGACACAGCCCTGTGGCTCGCTTCCATCCTCTCCTTGGAGCTGTTCGCCGGATGGATACATTCCGTCCGGAGCCCGGTCACCTAACTCCATTGGCATGGTTTGTGCGTCGGAGGATCAACTTGAGGCCAATGGGGGGTTGGTGATCTTCTACCCGGATGCCCCTGATGCATCGTGCCCGCAACCTCCTGCCTTCGGCATTCCGCGCACTGCTGTTGAAGCTGTGGACATCGTGCGTGCGGCATTGGCCCGCGCGTTTACGAGACTCATCCTCCCCAGTGGAGTGCCCACTCCATTGCCTGGCATGCCTGTTTTCGGAACACCCCCCTTGCTGGCAGGAACGCCAACAGGCATTCTGACTTTGTGTTTGCTTGGGCAATGCTAGGCAGATATGTGCATGAGCTAGCATGGAAACGGGCCAACCTCGAGGATAGCCGCCCCGAGCCACAGATTGCCTTTGGCTCCTCTCCCGTGGGGCAGGTGAAAGGAGTCAAAACCTGGGGACAAGGTCCCTATGAGCAGGGCTTCCTTCCCCTCCTGTTAGGCTATGGCAGTTCACAAACCCGAATGGCGATTTTGCCAGGGCCAGACCTGTTCATGGCGAATCGTTTTGCCGAAGCTGTCCCCCCCCCGTTTGTTCATGGATATGGTGCCAAAGGGACAAGTGTTTTGCGGCTCTGGGGACAGGTGCACCGGATGCCCACCCTGCCAGAGGCCATTTGGGGCAACGGTGACGCGGTTCCTCTATGGGCCGCTGTGGGGGGAAAGGGCAACGGACCAGTTCGGATCCAGCTTTTCCCTGGGGTCCTTATGTATTGGAAAAGAGAAGCCTTGTCCTCCTGTGGAGCCTCGCCCAAGTGGCGCAGCCGGCCAAACACCCCAAAAGGGCCGTTAGCCATTCTGACTGCTGCAGCGCACTCGTACTTTGCCCAGGCGGATGTGCCTTGGGCACTTCTCGCTGCCGACACGCAGGCCACGTCTTTGGGCCTCAGCCGGTACTGGGATGACGCCCTAGCGTTGCGAGTGCACCAGGCCCTTGCAGCTTTCGGATTTCCGGCCTATCAGCACCCGCCCCCGAAGCCCCACCGTACACTGGCTGGGGAATGCAGGTCGCTCTTCATTAGCGGGATGAATGGCAGAGGCGAGAACGCGCCCGCTTCCGTCTCGTGCAGTATCATTCACACCGCCAACTCCTATGCACTGACGGGCCTGGAAATGGAACAAGTCCGGGAGAACCAAGGCAAGCCGGTTAGATTTGACCTTACTCACCGCCCGCTGCTGCTCTCGTCTAGTGGCCACGCGTCACACGCATTGTTGCTCCTCCCGCAGGCCCCCCAAGTTTGGGCCAAGGCCCTCTACCCACACATTGAAGGATGCCATTTGCCGGCTGGGGTGAGGGCCAGGATCAGCGCTGTTGAAGCAGCCCTTATCATGAAGCCGGCCTTGGCACACTTGCACATGCCACACACTGCAGCCTTAACGGCTTTACATGTGGGCTTAGGTGCCGGCATGGCCGGTCAGTGCAAACTACGCATCCGTGGCTTCTCCGCCGGTTCCTACACCGGCGCAGCAGTGGTCATTGCATGGCACGAGCGCCAGCAGAGCCCCCTGTGCAAAGGAGATTTCGTCCCCATCGAGGCCCGACATTGCCATGCCACGGGCTATGTTGCGATACATTCTGGGGTCAGAGCTGCGACATGCCGTCAGTCTTGTCCACCACCAGGGCGACCAGCTTTGCATCTTCCGGCCGAGCTTGGCGGCGAGGGAGGAGGCGCTTAGGGATGGGGCACGCCTGTACTTCTTCTCTGAGTCCGATACCTTCGGCAGTGGAGGCCACTCCTATGGCCACTTTGTTGACAGTGAGGAGTTGTTTCAGCTTACCCCAGGGGATTACGTGCACAAGGAGTTGACCAGGAGGATTTGCGGTTTGGCGGATCCTCGGCTCGACCGTGCTGTCAGGGCGTCCTTGATGGGCGTCGCTTGTGCTACCGGAACGTTCCCAGGCTTTTGTCAAAGCGGTACTGGGACGGCAAGTCACCCGGCAGGATATGGAGAAATTCCTCAACCTGCCGCCTGCGACTAATCGGGGGATCATGGACTTGCGAGGTGACTGCACGGGCATCCTGTTGCAGGAGGCCAAGCCTCACTTGACTGACTTACCACGGCCCTACCACGAGCTTGGTCCCACGATGAAACTTGTGCTGGACATGTGGCTTCCCCTCCTGCCGCTCGAGCGCCTTGTTGATATGCTTGGCTACCAGTTCTTCGCCATGGCATCAGAAGCAGAAGTTGACGAGGAGCCCTCGGAGCAGTATCACTACCCGGAGCAAGCAACCGTCAAACGTGCCCCAGTGCCCACACGTGGCCGATCGGCTTACTTCATCGGGTCTATCCGAGGGCAACTGTCATCTTTCTCACACCAGACTTGGCAGGAGTTCCTGGAAGGCGCCGAATGTGGTTTGCTGTCGCCGGCAAAGTACCCGCCAAGGGCACTGCGCTGCTGGTCACTCTGAGCGAAGGCAGTCGTGACACGACCTACCCTGGTGTGTTCATCGAGCTTACCGCCCCTAAGAAGCTTCGTACCAACGCGGGCGAGACCAAGGCAATGCAGCCCGTGAACCTAACAATTGCCCTGCTACTGTCGGATGATCAGCACAACCACCTGGTGAATCAATATACCTTGCCCAGGGTCAGCCAGCTGGAGGTTCTCCCTGGCGGAGCTTCCACCCCGCTTTGGGATGCGTTGCTGCACATGCCTAGGGAGCGACAGCATGTCGCTCTTGGAGTACCGCTGGCGGACTCCCCATTGGAAGCGATTCGCCAGCCGTATTGGCTGCCGAACTTTCTCACGGACCTTGTGCTTGTTCTGCTCACCCGATTGGTTGT